GGAGACATCTTCAGGTGTTGATTGTATCTTGATTTGGCTTCTCACGTGTGAACTCTCATCTGAATGTTCATTGATGTATGCGAGGGTGAACTTGACGAGTACTTGGCTCATTTCGCCCCCTTTCTTGGGCACAAATAAAATAGGTGCACCAATTTCAGACTCACTAGGTCTGATCCATCCTCGGTCAATCATATCATTGATTTGTTTCTGGAGTTCCTCCATATCGGCTGGCCCCTTGCGGTGAACATTCATTGGGAGGAACACTACCCTCCATTAGCTCGATTTTGTGTTTGATTGGACGCACTCCACGTGGTTCAGCCAAAACATTCAGAAATCAATCTAGGAGCCTGCAAATGTTTGCTAGAATTTCCTCAAAATGGGAATCAGAATCTAGTCAAGCTGCGAATTTGCAGCCAAAACAACGGAATCTGAAGTAGATGCAGTTGGAGTGGAAGTAAATGGAGAAGAATCAGAAGCAGGTGAAGTAGAAGTCATCACATCACCTGAAGTAGAGCCATTAAATGTTGCAAAAGTAGAAGGTACGCGAGTAGGCTTGACAAAGGCCATGTGCATCTTCTCACCTTTCTCACACTTTTGCCACTTTCTGCAGAAGTTCATCGCATTAAGAAAAGTCACTAGGTACTTGTGTGTTTTGTCCAAGAGGACAGAACGCTCATTTCCCTGTATTATGTACCACAAGGCATTGGGCCTGCAACAAGCCTAAGCCAATAACCGCTTCGGAGGGGCACTCTTTGAGCGGTCAGCATCAAAGGTAGTGTGCACACCTTTGACTGCATTTGTTGAGGAGAACCTCTCGGTGGCCAACCTGGGTCTTGCAAGGGTTCTGCGGTTCCTCTTGCTTTCTTCTAAGGCCTGCCTTACGGATTCCGCGCAGATAAAAGAAATTTGCAGTGGAACCACAATCAATCAACACACGGATGTAAGTACGGTTAATGAAAAGTTCAAAGAAGATCAACTGCACTAACCCTTGAGCACGGCTTTGCCTAAGCTTGCCCCAATGCTCGAATAGGTTTTGCGGTTCCTCTTGCTTTCTTCCAAGAAACTTGCAGTGTAACCATTATCAATCAATGCATGGATGTAAGTACGGTTGATGAAAAGTTCAAAGACGATCAACTGCACTACCCCTTGAGCATGACTTTCCCTAAGCTTGCCCTAATGTTCGAAGTGGTAGTGGAAGTATACTTCTCTTGAGTCCTCCCAAGGCTGGACATAAAGGACTTAAACAGAATTAGCCTTGGCATCAGCGTCAGAAAGGGCATCAAGAGTAAGCTGCTGAACGGATTCAAGTTCCTTGGGGGAACTTGCACTTACCGGCTCAGCCTCCCTTCTTGTCGAGAGTGCCGATAACTGCGCAACGCCCTTGACTTGTTTCCCTCCAAGCAGGAACAGTCTTGGACTGGATTGAACTGAATTAGCCTTGGCATCAACGTCAGGAAGGGCATTAAGAGTAAGCTGCTGAACGGATTCAAGTTCCTTGGGGGAACTTGCACTTACCGGCTCAGCCTCCCTTCTTGTCGCGACTGCTGATAACTGCGCAACGCCCTTGACTTGTTTCCCTCCAAGCAGGAACAGTCTTGGACCACATGGCCCTTCTTTTGACAGTGCAAACAAATTTTAAGTTTCAATCTTTCCTCCCAGTCGTTTTGACTGATCTGTAGGTCTTCCCATTGCTTGGTTGAAGCATCCTCCAGACTGGTTGGGATCTTTGCTCCTTTAGGGAGATGAGGCTGAGTGTTCTTTATTGAATTACGATTCGATCCCTTGTCACTCGAGGCAATGTTTTTTGAAGGCTGAAAGTTGTTCATCATTCACATTTCAGACTTGAGGCTGATGTTGAACAGTCCATATCGGCGTCTTGCTCTAGATAGTCACCTAGAGTAGAATCATCCGTGTAGAAATGATCCTCAGCCTCCACCAGGTCGTGCAGTGCAAGGCTGTTGCTGCGTCAAACCGCTTGAGGTTCGTAGCCTGCTTGCCGCCCAGTGTGTGAAGAAGGTTTTGTACCTCCAGCCGGATTGCATCCTTCATGACGGTGCGCCAGTCTGTGTATTCATCAAGTCTTAGCCACCTAGTAGATCAGTGAGATGTTGGGGAACCGCGCCGTGGACAGTATCTATGCAAGTTTGTCTGCTCACCTCCAGGCTAGGGGTAGCAAGAAGTCTGTTGAGATATTGCTCCAAGGCCTGCATTGTGCCCATTCACATTTTGCCCTTCACAATGCTGAGCTTCTTTCTTGCCTCGGTGGCAGCATGTGGATCATCATATTGTTCAAGTAAGACACTCTCCACTGACTCTCCAGTGTGGTTACCGGTGTGATCTTCAGCCATTTTGTCAGGTTGATCCTTTGATAGCCTGCTTCTACAGCTTGGAGTTCTATGTTGGGTTCCACGTTGGTGCCCATG